CGTAGTCCTCGACATTCTTGTTTGTTAACGCTGCCACTGCTGTACTGCTTTCTCTACTATGAAAACTTGCACTGCGTTGAATACAGAGGTTACTGACTGGCAGTTAGTATTCTCCTCCAATCACGTTTTGCTGTCCAGTGACATGTTAGCAACAGTTCGCAAAAAAGAACTGGTGGCTGGATATATAAGTCTTGAAGACGTGCAAGCCCTGACCTTCCCAGCCTGGTAGTATAATTCGGTGGCGGAGACCTAACTAGTGTGTCGGAAAAGCAAAATAATTTTAGAAATGAAATTAAAAGGTAAAAAGATAAAGCTGGCATATCCTCTACAGGGAACACATTTGAATACTGCATTGTTCTGCAAATTTTAGTGCACAATTTGTTTAGTTTACTTTAATATATTGAAAAAAAATTAAAGAGAATAAAAATGTGCCATTACTTTTGCACAGGCCACATTTTATGTTTTATATTTTTCCCCCACTATCTGTTGAATTCAACAAATAAAGAGTAATTGTGTGTTAAAATGTGCAGAAGTGTGTTCTGTGTAGAGGATGTGTTAACTTATTTTCACTTAGAAAATTAACAGTATGTAATTTGACCAAGCATCCAACCTTTTGCATACAACTGTGCCGACACTGATTAGAGCCATTTCCACTTTCCTCCAAAAACAGTACTTTATAATCCTAAAAGACAAAAAATAGGGAAAAAACTCCTCTAAACCCAAAACCATTCAGACTTGAAAATGACTTTTTTGTGAATTAAGCAGCAGACACTGAGGTCTGGTTTTAGCAGTTGGACAAAACATTCTAGCATTTTTATTTACTTGCACTGAAAATGTATCACTTTATGGTGCAAAACCACAGTACATATCGTATTGTGAAATTTGTGCATCATTACACCCCTAAAGCTTTTATTTGCAAAGTCCTCTGGAAGCAGTAACAGCTCCAAGTCCTTCAACATATGCCTTTCATTTATTTGATAATATTTGGCCATTTTTATTAACCACACTGCTCTTAGACTGTTAGACTGCTTGGCTTCTTGGGATGATGATTAATCGTCAGGTCATGACCTGACCTAAATTTCAGCTGGATTTAGGTCAGGCTCTAACTGAGCCACTCTAGGACCTTTAACTTTTTTTGAACCCCACCCACAGAAGAGTAGTTTTGGTTGAGGTGATCAATTTCTCTTCCAGGTTCGCTGTTTTTTGTTTTTTTTTTGTTCTCTTGTAAAAGTTTCAGATTTTGCGGTGTGTCCAAAGCCTTGCTGTTTGTCCCGTTTGGCCGATGAGACAATTGCCCCACAATGTTGCATCACAGTAGGGGGTTTCTTTGGGTACTGGTTCACATTTAGATCATATAAAGCAACTTGAGTTGTTTTCTAAAACCAGACGCTATTTACTAAATATCTGAAGTCCCTAAGGTAGTTACTGCATGCGTAAAAAATGATGTAAGGCAAAAACTGCCTGACTAACGGCTTTGTTTTATGACATTATGCCACAGGGCCATATTTGTGGATTAATGTGGATTGCAGTGAACTGCCTGAGCCAGGAAATCTTGAAGTTTCTTCGAAGTTGTTGACCTGACACCATCTCTAATTAGACTTTTCCTTGCTTGATTACTGAGTCTAGAGGTATAACATTCCGGGCAGAGTGAAGATGGCAACATATCCCTTTAATTTCACTGATTTACAGGAAAAATACATCGTAAAGGGGGACTGAATACTAATGCGACTAACCCCCCCATTTCATTCCATGCTGTACTTTGTGTGGAAAATGGAAAAATTAAATTAATTTCATTTCAAACTGCAGGCTACAAGGTAAAAAAGGAAAGGGGCTAAATACTTTCAATAACCACTGGAAAACGGAGAGAAAGAAAAAGAGAGAGATAGAGGCAGCACTCAGCAGATCACTTCACTGTCGCTAGAAGGGTGGAGGGTTAACAGAGCCTCTGGCCTGCAGTAATATTCCCTCAAATACTAAAGAGAAATAGAGAAAGAGAGAGGGAGCATAAAAGAGAAAGACAGAGACAGCAGGGCAAGAAAGATGCGGAGAGAGAAGCTGAAGCAGCAGGGAATCTTGTCAAAGGAAGTAATACAGCTCTATTCATGTCATGTAGTCAAGGGGGGATGCTTGGCCTCTCTTCTAGTGCTGGGGCATCACTTATGAAAACATCACAGGAGTGTCTGTGTCTGTGTGAAGCAAGTCAGAAAAAGTCATGTCTGTCTGCGGATGTTTAAGAAGGGCCGTGGTTCCCTCTCGATGGCCTCCTCCTGCTCATGTTAATGTCAGAGTCTTGTTCTTCAGGCCAGGTCTGAGCACTTGAACATGGCAGCCGCAGCCAGTGGACATCTGATGCGCCTTGTATTTCTCACCCTGAATTACGATGCCTAACGACATGCTGTCCTACACCAGGGGATCTATTCAGCTCAGCTAGCGCTGAGGGAATAGCTTCACTCACTTTAATCTGTACCTGTCGTGTTGAGCTAACCTCTGTCCTCGTCACTCTGCTTTTTTTTCCTCACTTGTTTTGTTCTCTCTTCCCATTTTCTTTCTTCCTTTTTCTAAAATGTAAGTATACCTCTTTTGTTGTCTTCCTCCTACAGATGCTGTAAAATGGTAACAGCTGCCTAAAGGACTGTGATGCACGGATAAGAGCTTCCACACCTCCAGACACAATGCTGTATGGATCTAGCCTGCTGTCTCCACCCCTGTTTTGGCCCTAGAGGCCTGTGCAAACCCTGCCTTTTCCAATTCCCTCTCGGCCTCTCACTTCCACCAGCTCACGTCCATCACTGCCTCCGTACTGGATCACATGAGTCTGGAAGACCGCCATGCTTGCACCTTGGCTTCTGCTGCTTTTAAAGTAGGAGACTGATCAGTGTTGGTCCTTCTGCTGGGGTCCAGTCTGCAGGCCCACAAGCTGCTATCTCTGGGGCTTAAGGAAGAAGAGATCCAGCAAGGCTATAGGCAAGCTTTGCACATGGCTCTAGGTCTGATGCAGAACAACATGCTAACATGCTACATGCTAAAGGACTCTCAGAATGAACAGGAAGTAGTAGCCAGTCTTAGGATATTTCCTCTCCACATGTGAGCCCAAGCCCGGCTCGTCAAAGTGGACGCAATGGCGCAGTGCTGTCAGATAAGCTAGAGAAATGGAAACCTGGGATTAACCTTTGACCCAAGTTGTATTAAGGTCAAAGGTGAGAGACCCCCTACTGAGGGAATAGAGGAGATTGCAGGACTTAATGACAAGGGAATAAAGAAATGACAACCAAGGAACAAAGGCTTACAGAAGAAGAAGTACACCTGGATAATGAAGGAAAGGCTAATAATAGAAAGAATGAGAAGAGGGACAGATCTAATGATGAAGAAAGACTGAAGAAGCACCCACCAAAACAGAACGACAGCTTGACCAGGTAGAACAAAGAGCACATGAGGGCAGATGGAAAAATTGAGGCACCAGATGAAGTGATAAGTGGAAAGATGGAGAGAGAGAATGAGTGGGAGGAATGGGTAGACCTAGGGCTGGAGATAGATGAGCTAAGGTCAAAAGGAGAGGGGGAGGAAGAAGAGGTGAACGGAAAAAGAGAGCTGACGAAAGAGAGCACAGGACCAAGGGAGAGGGAAAAAAGATGAGGGCCAGCAGATGGAGAAAAGTGATGATGAGGGGGAAGAGAGAAGTCAGGCACCAGAGAATTAACCAAATGATTCTCAGAGTGGGGAAAAGCTTTTCTACCTCTCGCTACCAATGGGTAGGCAAAGACGGCAGGAAGAGAAAACGTCAGCATAAGGGAGGACTTGGCAGTCGTGTACACATAAACTGCTTGACAAAAACTAAAAAACTAAACTGCAATCCAAAACCACCAGACCACAGCAGCACTGTGCAAGCCATAGTGTCTAATGAGCTATATCATGGTAATCCACCAGAGTTAAAATTACTCTATATAGTTCAGACCCATGTGTTGGACAGTGCAGAAAGAGCCATACACTCTTCTCTAAAGCTGTGCCACTCTCTTCTGTCACAGCCCAGGCTCCTCCCTGGAGCAGGGCAAGCTGAGGTGGCCCTGGCTCACCATCTGACCCAGTGTGGCCTCTGCATCCCAGGCCTGGAGCAGCTAGCTGTCCATGCCATTGCCCAGGCCATACTCGAGCCAGTGAGAGTACTGGGAGAGAACTCAGGGGTGCCAGGGGACCTGGCTGTGCTTACTCTGTATGGATAGCAGTTCTGGAGTGCAGGGGCAGAAGGGCAAAAGGGGTGTTGTAAGGTGCTGGATCCAGTGGTATGTAAGAGGAATGCAGTAAAGAGGGCAACAGAGAAAGCTTATGCATTATCACTCAGCAGCTCGGCTCTAAACAGAAAAGACATCAACCTACAAAGTCTGTACAGAGCTGCTGATGCCAAAGCTGCTAAATACAAGAACAAACACTGACTTAAAGTCCAAAATGAAATAAAATAGCATTGCTTTGACCTGTCTAGTTATTTGGACATGATTTATATTGCAGAATATTACTGTGTGTACAGTAGGGCTGGTTAATTGTTATCACAACATTTGCCATTGCAATACTGATATCGCAGAAGTTTTCAATATGCCCTTTCAATATGGACCCTCTAACCACTCACAATATTTTGTACTGTGTGCTGTGGACAAGATGTGCACATCGTAGTTACAGACGAGTGTTTCCGTGGGTGTTTTTCTGTGGGCATTCATGTAATCCACCAAAACTGAATTATGTTGGCCAAAATATTGTAGGTCCATCTTCAAATCACCTCACATTATTGATTTTCCAATGCTTTTTTAATATATTGCTAGGTGTATCAGCCTATTACGTAGCCCTAGTGTATAGTATGTATTTATTTGTCAGACTGCATGTGTGTCTGCATGTCTGTCGGTCAGACTGTATGCATACTCACACAGATATAAAAAGACTATATGCAAATGAAAGATTTTAAATAATTGTGACACATACTAGTATTTCACTGAATAACAGCAATGCTGAAGTACCTGCAGGCTGAGTGTGCTGCTGACATTGACCCGGGGCAGTGAGAGTGCCATGCTTATGCTGCTCAGCTTCCCCAACCACTTCTCCAGCTGTTCCAGGGTCAGCACGCGCTCCAGTCTGGCCAGACTCTCGACATGGAAGGGCAGCAGCAGCACCATGCTGGCCTTTCCACCCCACAGGCCCAGCTCCAACACCTGCACCATATTTTCCATGTCCTCATAGTGACGGTACACTCCTACAGAGACACATACAGGGATGGGAGGTGCCGTAAGGGAAAAAAAAAAAAAAAAAAACAGTTGAATAGTGCAGAATAGATCAGTGAAAACAGGTATGATTTTAATGCAAGGTGCTGCGCAAAAGTCAGAGACCAACCTTTTATTTACTTAATTTCTAGTCACAGTGTGCAAAACACGCAGTGGACAAGTAATTCATTTTCAAGAGATTTTTCTGAGATGAGGTAGAAAGTAATTCACTTGCATGAGGAAGGGGAAAGTCAAAGAAAAATAAGCAAGGAAAAAACAGGAGTTTCCAAAATTGGAGTTAAATATGTAGAGAAAATAAGATATCAAGAAAATAAGAGTCCAGCCATGCAAGACCTGGTAGACTACCAGAACTGCCACCATCAGATAAGCAGTACTTAAACCTTTCATCTTTGAGAGAAAGGAGAAAATCAAGCTCCACTTTTGCTTCAGATCTCAAAAAAATCCACAGGTAATTCTGTCCATCCTTCTGTGAGACAACTCACTACGGGTCTGAAAAGATGTGTAGCTGTCAAGAAGCTGTTACTGAGAAAAGGAAAGACAAAAAGACATTTTGGACATCATACAAAGAAGCTGCTGATGTTCTCAACAATGGACTGTCCACCCCAGAGTCCAGACCTCACCATCACTGAATGTAATTGGGAATACTTGGATCATGAGAATTTTGAATTCTGAATTTTGGAGGTATAGAAAAATATTCCTGCACATTTTTTGAAAACTGAAAGCAAGTCTCCCGAAAACAATGGAAGCTGTAATAAAGAGAAAAGATGAAATACTAAAAAACCACACTAAATATTGAAAAACTGATATTCTATTTAGTCAGTGAAGCTTCTGTGTAATTTCCTGTTAAATATATTTGTATGCTTTTTTTTCCCTGATGCTGAAAAATGAATATCTTGTACTTAATGGCCTTTTTAACTGGAAATGAAATATATGAAGGGCAGTCTCTGACTTTTGCACACTACTATATCGATATATTTTATAGTGCAAAACAGACTGATGTACAGCATAGTCTGCCTGTTTTAAAAAGGTTGCAAAATGAAATTGCGCTTGAGGTAAATTGTTCATCAAAATAATGCTGAATGTTATTACTACTAAATAATGTTCACTGTGATGGGAGAACCCAAACTGGGCAGCCGATATTAAATTAGAGAAAACAGGCCAAAGCTGAAAGCAGAAGGTAATTACCTGATCTGTGCATCATGTACACTTTGGTGTATTTGGTCCCTAAAAAGCTTCGCAGGTCTTGGTTTTCTTGGTCAAAGCTACGATCCCAAAAGCCTGAAGAGTAAAAAAATAAAAAACATATAATACATCTCAAGCCAACATGTACGGTTATATAATGTGCACACACAAACACACATGGGTGTTCCCCAAGGGCAATGTTAGCATATACTCGAAAAGAACATCAGCTAATCATGTTTTGTGCCACCAAATGAGGCCATCCTACATTACAACAAAGACAGCCTCCACTATGGACTTGACAGATTAGATCCTATTAGGCTGAAATCATACAGAGCTACATTAGGGACACAGTGACAGAGAGAGAAGAGAGAGATGAAAGGAAGACAAGGCAATAGACAAGAGAGAGGAAAAAAAGAGGGCTGCACACACGAGGGAGGGGAGGCACAGGACGTATTATTGCAGTCCATTAAACCCATTACGTTCTATAACAAAGATGGGATTCGATAAAGAGACTATTAGCAGAATTATAGTCACATATGCTTTTTTCCCCCCCTAGTCTTTTCTCCTTGCTGAATTAGCCACAGAAAAGTGTGCGAGTGACTGTGTGTGTTTGTGACACAGACAGAAAGAAAGAGGGAGGCGGAAGAAATATCCAATATTACTGTAATGGGATGACAGCTTCATACAATGCGAGGTTACAATATTTCACCCTATTATTGTGACCCACTACATCAAATACATTCCAGTCCGCTTATGGGGTTAGAGGAGACGGTCTTCATTATCAGTCAGTGGCTGCTATAACTCAGTATGAAGCCTGTCCTCTTTATGTAGACGCGAGGGTGATTTACGGGCCGACGCTGGCTGGGTCTATATGATGCAGTCAGTCACTGCAGATCTTTAACTCCCCATTACTTTGCTGCTAAGTGCTACTTCACCACCTATTTTCCCTGATTTCAGCTTTTTATTATACAGTAGCTAGCCATGTGCAGAATAATAATGAAAGCCCTGTAGCTAAATATGACATGCTTGGTATCGACTTTTAAAGGGGAATCCCACCAAGCTATCATTCTCTACAATATGTTTGTAATACGTTTTGAACGGCAGTGTCCTAAGTGTTAGTGCAATGTCTGCCTGTCTGTAGATGCTGCTATTGTGAAATCTCCAAATTCAACAAGGGCCAGACTGATATGAAAATTTCAGACACCAATATCAATTTTAAGCAAACAGAAAAATCCACTAATCATTAACACACACACACACACACACACACACACACACACACACATTAACATGTCTCCGGAATAAGTTTCTAAATGAGACTTTATGTGAGTCTTATAAGACTCTTAAGAACAAATGAGTTTAAGAAATGGACATTTATTATTAGTCAGTGACGCACTGTTTAACTCAGAATTCATCAGTTTAATTTTTGATCGTGAAGAATATATAAATTGCCTTTTTTTAAGGATGCAAGGATGCATAGTGATATAGTGGCAGATGTTTGCTTTTAAAAAATAATGGCATTACAAAGATCTTTACATTTGACCAATATTTTAAACTTATATTTGATGAATTTATTTTACTCCATAAAATCAGAATGTTTTGGCAGTGTTTGCTACCATGCTTAAATGTGTCTTTTTTCAATTATTTTTCTACATCATTTGAATACAGCAACTGCTCTTTACATTGTGTGAAAATGTCATGATAAGTGGACTAATAGAAGTGATCCCAAACTGTGATAAAATCTATTTACATTAACTTGCATTAAAAGTTAAGAATATGCATCAGCATTTCAGAGACATAATGCTCCTTTGTATCATCATCGCTGTCAAAACTAAAACAAGTGTCTCCAACACAGTAACTTCACAGATAAAGGCAAAAATATTCTTTACTTTTAATGTAAGTTAATGTAAATGGATTTTATTAGTTTTGGATCATTTCTATTGGCCCAATTATGAAATTTTTATACAATGTAAAGAGCAGCTGCTGTGTTCAAATGATGTTGAAAAAAAAAAAATTAAAGCATGGTAACCCAACACAACCTAAACATTCTGATTTTACAGAGTAAAATAAACACATCAAATATAGGTTTAGCATATTGGTCAACTGTAAACATCTTTGCAATGCCAGTATTTTTTTTAAAAGCAAACATCTGCTGCTGTATCACTGTGCATCCCTAAAAAATGTATATATACTACATGATCAAAAATGAAACAGACAAATTCAGTTGACGAGTTAAACAATGCATCACTGACTACTATAAATGTCAGATTTCTTACACTCATATAGCCTTGAGTCTCATGAGCAAGTCTTACATAGAAACTTGTTCTGAAATAGAGATATGCCAATTTTCGAAAATAAGGTGTAGAGTCATTCTACAGAAATGTCTATTTTTGTGTCTCTAGCGTTTACAGATATATTACACTTGAAAAACACACTAGGGTTACAATTTATTTATATTTTAAAATAAAACAATAAATTATTTTAACAATTACACCTTCTTGAGCCAAAAATTTAGCAATCTTGGTTTTTAAATCAATTATCTAGAATTCCAAGCACCACTGAAGTGCTTGTCCTCACAGTCACGTGTAAAGGGTGAGCACCATATTTTGAAGACACAACACATTTTTCTGCAATTTTACCTACTAATTTTACCTAATCTATACATGACTATGAAATATATGATTTAAATGACAAAGAAATCAAACACCAAATAAATATTATAAAATATATAATGAAAGTTGTTGTCCCTAGGAGTCATGTCACTGGTGTTACTGCATAACAAAAAAATCTCTTATTTTGAAATAAAAATCACACTGATGACATCACTTGACTTCCTTTTACCTATTTTCTGAGGATTTTTGAAGAAAAGCACATGGAAAGTCCACTGTATTGTTTCAGTTGTCGGACATTTTCTCATTTAGCTCATGATTTCATGTGAAGCTTTTAGTTTAAGTCACTGACCTATGACCTACTTTATTCTCAGGTAATTGTGAAAAAACAGAATACAAATGGATTAAATTACATATTTTAGTGGATATTCCATGACTGACAACATGTGGTTTCATGCTCTGTAGCAGACATTTTGTAAAATGCATTTTTCATTAATAAAAATCACCGGTGTTACTCTCTCTCTGGTGTTACCTTTCTTATATGTAACACCAGTAATGATCACTAACACCAGTGACTCCTAAGGAAAGATAAATAAGTAGACATTTCTGTAGAATGACCCTGTACCTAAAACTGAACACTGACGGTATTGCTATCTTGGACACTTCAAAGCACTGTCATTATATTTTAGGAAAACAAGTTAAAATTTCACCTATGACACGATGGCCACTTGAACCATTAAAAAATGGATTGCTATGCCATTAATTTTTTGTGCAAACACAGAAAAGTTGACAATGCAATACAATATCGTAAACAGTGATAAAAGTTTAGGTAGTCATTAAATAAAATTTTATTCTGTAACAATCTAAATTTTCAGAAATAAATTATTTCGAGATGCGTGATTGAGGTGTTCTGAAAAACGTGGCACCTTAACATCAGGTGATTTTGTGAGCTAACAGATATATTGGTCGGACCCTAAACTCAACACAGCAGAATCTCTTCTGTCTGAGACACAATCTCAGTGCATAAAAAAGCTCTAAAAAAATGTTTGAGTGGAATTCTTCTTCAAACAAAGGAGCTTTATTGGGTAAACTTGAGATGAGTTGCTGTATAGCTAGTCATTATGAGAAACACCTGACCCTGTATGGGGGAAGCTATACTCATTTGTAGGATGTGTGCCAAGCATAGCGTACAGACCAACGGCATGCAAGCGCTTCTCTGAGGCTTGTGAACACAAGTGAAGGCGCACTCCTCAGTTTCACTGATTATAGTGGGGATGAAACCTGATCGCTCTAAAGTTCAGAACACAAGCCGTGGTATCTGTCGGTTATTAAGAGGGCAGCAAAGTTCCATGGAACAGAGAGCATGAAGGGGGAATTCTCCCCTGCGAGTGCCTAAAATGCCATGCAAGGTTTCACCACCACAGTCTTGGCTGCCGATCAGAAGCGAAGACTGAGGCCTGGATCTTTATCTGGGTGATGTCCATGCAAGTCACATCTAACGCTGAAGAGAAAGAGAAAGGGAGAGCTAAAGAACGTAACCACAGAGAGACACACGGTATCTCTTCCATTAATTACACTACACAAAAACAATGCCACTATTGTACGCTTTTCCGCATCTCCATTCCACTCCCACACCCTCTTTAAATAATAACCCAAAGACCTGACCACAAACGACGCACGGGGAGAAAAATAAAAGGCCTAAATGAGGTAAGCCACTTTCCTCCTCTCTCATCAACTCGGTGATTACGGAACAGCATGCTGCTTTGGGAGGCACTGTTATTACAGCTTACATGGGTGTGCACTTGTTGTGGGTTTTTGTCTCTGTTATTGTGTTCTTGTGTGGGGGTGTCTGTTGACGGTAGTGTTGATTTCTTTCTCTTTTTCCCCCCCCATCACTGTTTGTTTGTATCACAGGGAGAACAAAGGCTGAATTAATTAACTGCTGCGGACAGGCGCTCTCCCTGGGTAAGACTGCTGCTGTCCCTCTGTCTGTCCATGCTCAACCCCTCCCTCTCTCCCCCTCTTTCTACCATTCTGTCTTTGAGTACTCTGTTGTGAGTATAGAGTGAGTGTAAAAGATCAGCACATAGAGGAGTGGAGGGGGATAATTAGCAGAAGGGGAGAGTAAACGGAGACAAAACAGTGAAAAGGAGCGGAGGACCGCACAGGCCCCTGCTACTCTAATGCTTTCTTCTAGGGCCACAGCATAGCTAAGTAATGTTCCTACTCCAACACCTCATTCAACCTATGAAGGGGGGTGATAATTACGTGATGAGTTGTGTTTGAGCGGGAAAAACACTAAACAACAGTGCTGTGAACTTCAAGGACCCCTTTTGAGTAGCACTGCTGTAGCAGGAGGAGAGTGCCTTAGAGACGTATGAAAGAGAGAAAAGAAATGGGGTAAACAAGACAAGACGGTGGAGAAAGAGGACTGTCTAAAAAGGAGGCATGGGTGTAGATGGAGAAAGAGAACGAAAGAATGAGTTTGGTGTTTCAGCAACAGACTAAAAGTAGAGAACAAGGAAGGTCACAGAGAAACAGATGTGGATAAAGCACTAAAGGATTCCAATGGCTGTGTCTCAAATGGCTCCCTACTCTGTAAGTAGTGCACTTCATGGGTCATAAAATAATGGCTTCAATGCCCATAAAGTGCACTATAGTCTATGTCCAATTGGGATCCATTTGGGATTCAGTTAGTGTCACAAAAAGCATTCTTGAATTGTTCCAGGGGCAGCTTCTCCAACAGCCAGAGCCCAATCATAGTCAGTAGGGATGCACCACTTTCTCTCTGCCAAAGCTGATGTGAATACCTTAATTCATGGTATTGGTTGATACGGAGTATCCATCCGAAACCAGTGCTCTTTTTTTCCTTCTTCAATTTAAAACATGTAAAATCTTCACTGTGCAAATCTGCCTGTGATCAATCTTTTATGTGTAAGATATAAGGGGACAACAATGCATTGTGAACTGTGAAAACTGTGAAAATGTGCATCATGGAGAATGGGTCTGTTTATTATGCCATCTCATACAATTGCATTGTTTGTACCCCAAAGATACATTATTAAATCACGGACTACTTCAGACACAATGGACAGCGGGAGGTGAGTCATTTAAATTTTAATTTAAAATTTTCATTTAAAATGTGACTTAGCTAAAGGGGCTTATGTTAGCAGGGTTTGCACGTCACAATATTTAGGCTTATTTCTGGCATGCTGGTATAACAGTTCTGAAAACAGTTAAGTATATTGACTCACTACTATAGTATAGCCCAGTAAAGTAATATGGAGCTGTAACTATATATGACTTTCAACTATAGTAGAGCTGACACGATTTGCAGTCTCCACAAGCCCTTGTAAGGGGCCCTTGTAACTGAAAATGTCTAGGACTCTGAACAACCTTCACAAAGGGGAGCTATTAGCACTCAAGTTGTTTTTGTGAACATCACAGACAAAAAGAGGAAACCAACACCAGCAGGATCTAATGAATGCATTCAATGTTTGTAGCTACAAATTGCATGTAAATTAAGTAAACTTATGGGGTTGTTGTTCTAAACCAATCACATGTATATGAAGCAAAAAGGTTTTGTTTCACTAGATCTAGGCTGAACAGCTTAGCACAAAGCTAACAGGCTACTCCAGTAATATTCAGAATTAGGCTTTACTGAAGGATTCATGGTAAAAACTGTGACAAAGTACAGAACATGACAGTTGAATACAATCACTGTTTCAGAACTGGCATTAACTCAGTGTGGTATGTGAATGCACACCACGCTGGCTTGGCACTAACATTACACTGAAATATCCATAAAAGTGTTAGTGGAAATTAGCATTGTTGTAGCTGTCGTACTCAGGCTATTTATAAAGTGACGATTTCCATATTAAATAGGTTCATGACTGGCTCAAAGCAGCCTTAAATTTCTCATAATTTTTTAAATTCTGCCCTTAAAAATGATTTGAAAAGCATTAAACTAAATATGCTGATAGCTGGAGAAACCATAATGCACAATACATATTTCAAATTCTTGCTCTTGCAGTAACAGAGCCTGATGAAAAAGTAGACTGGATCATGTTCTGTCAATTTTATAATGACTGTGAGTAAGAAAAGAGACAGTATTGAATGTGGATCCATCATGTCTGGCCAAAACCTGATCTGTTCAATAAAGCCAGTGTGGGTGCATCACTGATAGTCATGATGGATCTGCAGCACTTCATAGATGTGACAAGGAAACAGTGCATGTACATAAATGAATTACTATTGGACCCTCCAGCAGCAGGATCATTTACTGCTGCGAAATTATAAATCCAAACTCTCTAAGTCAATTTTCATAATCTCATTCATGCGGCCTAATCTACTGTCTAATCTAATTTGTATATTTCAGCACTAAATTAATGGGACCAACCAACTCCTGCTTCACATGAAGAAAAAAAAAATATTATAATTTCATAATTAAGCTGAAACATGAGACAAAAGAAATTAATTAGATTGCTTATCAATCCACAGTCAATCATAACTTATTTTCCGTGGCGTGTGCTATTGAAAAGACAATCTCACTTCGCACCCCTCCTCCCCATGTTTAAAACAGGATCAAAGTACTGCCAATATTATCAAGACAAAGAAACTGGTGAGTAAGAGGTATGGAGGTAAAATAATGCTTTTAGTCTCGTCATGGATGATGGTGAGATTGCACTTAAGTATGTACGGTAGGAGACAAAAGTACATAGCACAAAATGACAAAGATGTCCTTGAAACAAGGAGATTAAATGTAATTTAACACAAGTAGATTAATCACTTCAATCATTTTTCATGAAAAAGCCTATTCACAGTATATGCTACTGAATGTATATTATTCTGCAAAGGATCTCTAACACTACTATATGTATAGAATCTGAGTGACCTCCAGAAATACTGCCAAACTGTGTACAGTCAAAGTGCCCTAGCATGGGAGACGTACCATAAAAAGCTGAGTAAAGAAGTGACTCAGCAAACTGTCCAAAACACATAGACAGGGAAGTAAAGCTAATGCCTATCGAAGGCCGAAAGCAACCCAGCACAGTGGGTGCAGATATGAGGTGTTCACTCGGGGGAAGAGATCTAGACACTTGTTACTAAATTATTCAGGATGACACATTACCCCCCATAGGAAGACAAATAATCTCTCCATGATAGACTGGAGAATCATTACTTATCAACTGTACAGAGTAGCTGAGGGAACACACACACACACACACAGGCCTAGAAACATAGTGCACAATTAGGAACATACACAGACACATAAACGTTTGCATGTGCACATGAGAAACATCTAGATACAAGCTTTCATTTGTTTGCGTAAGTGCAAATTCACCAATGCTGAATTACTTCTGACAGAATTAACCTGCAGCAAATTTGGCTCGACTGGAGTTCATTTAGAACTGGTGATTTTAGTGGGTACACACTTTAATCAGCCCCATACAACACCAACTCCCCAAGACGCATTTCTGCAACAGCTAATCAAATCTGAAACGAATGGAGCAGACGTGCCGTTGTTTGTAGTCCATTCATCAAGCAACAGCACACGATCAATCTACATCTAGAGTCATCATGAGCACAATCTGTACTGGACCAATTTCCAGCACTCACTCTCATAAGGATCCAGCTAATTGTGTTATCCTTTCATCTTATGCAGTACAGCGCAAAACAGAAGGACCTACTGTCTGTCCCTGGGCCAATCCTATGGAGCAAAAAAAATTAAATAACCTTGTTTTACCTACTGTTAGCTGGTCGGCTGTGTAGGAGGACAGTTTAGCAGAATATCTAACACCATGGAATATATGGGGGGGGGCACTGACATTACAGCACTGACATTACTTCTATGTTAAGAGCCTACTCCCATCAACATCATGAAAAAAATCTTGAATGTGATTTTCTGTTATAATTAAGCCTCCAACACTAAGTATAATATCAAATCTATCAGTATTTAATTTACTGTTCTGCACCTTTAATTTACTGTTCTGCCACTTTAACTCTTCCAATTAAGACCAATGAACTCCAGCTGTGTCTTCCCAACAAAAGCTGTTCCACAAGAATCACTGACATTATGTTCCCTTCAAAAAAGACATTAACATTCACACAAGCAACTAAACAATGTGCATATCATGTGCATCTAAAATGGCTAAAGAAGATATTTCTGAAGAGATTAGATAGAAGGTAATCCACTTGCATAATGAAGAGGAAAAAAAAACAGGAGTTTACCGAACTGGGGTTCAGGTAAGTATTGAAAGATACAGAGAAAATGGGACTCCTAATAACCATGCAAGACCTGGTAGACCAGCAAAACTGTCACCATCAGTATTTAAACTTCCCTCTTTGAGAGAGAGAAAAAAAATAAAGCTCCACTCTTGCGTCAGTTCTGAAAAAAAATCCACAGGTGTTTCTGTCCATCCTTCCACTGTGAGAAGGATGTGTAGCTGTTAAGAAGCTATTACAGAGAAAAGGAAATAGACAAAAAAGAAAAACCAGGCATCTGTGATGTGGAGTAAGGTTCTATGGACTGATGAGTCTAAATTCAAGATCTTAAATAACAGAAGGCAGTATGAAATGAAAGACTCTGAACCATATCAACAACTAACATCCGAAGAGATTTTTTGTTTGACTGAGTATATCATGAATGTTGATAAGTACAACCAATTTTAATGTCAGAAAACACCTAAATAGCAAGAAATTAATTCTCTAGGAAGATAATAACCCCAAGCACACTGCTGAGAAGTTCAAGACTACCTATAAAAAAAAACAAAATGTTACCAACTTCTAAGACTGAACTGATTTCTTTAAAAAACGTAACGCAGGTCTCCAGAAAAGAATGTATAATAAAGGCAGTAGATGGACACATTAAATACTGAGGAAATTATATCATATTTAGTTGTTGAGGCTTCTTTGCTATTTCCCATTAAATGTACGTATTCTGCTTTTTTACTGACACTGAACAGAAGAATAACTTAATTGCCGTTTTAACTGGAAATTAAATAAATGACAGTGGTTTCTCACTTTCGCACAGTACTGTAGTTCCAAAAAAGGTTTACAAGAATGGAATAATAATAGAAATAATAATAATAATTAGCAGAAGCACAAGAAGAACAATAGATGCTGCTATAATGGAGGTTATAATTAACCCCTGTAAACTTGTAGATCCAAGTGTAGCATAACTAGAATATTAAAACAACCATTTCCTCACCTGCAAAAAATACATCTAAACATTTAAATGTTTCTTTGCATTTTCATAGTTATACAAGTATACAGCTATTCCTTTTACTTAAGAATCCTTGAACCTCCCTTTTTAGAGTATATTATACATTTTCTATAATTTAGTCAGCTATGACAGCATAATTAAAAAAAATCTGAGGATTTAGACAGGTACTTATCTTCCTCACCTTTTAAGTGCAGTGCATTGGCCAGGATCATAGCTCCATCTTTGGCGTCTGGTCCCTCAGTCAGTGGAGACCCCTCCAGTCCTCCCATTCCACCTTTAGCCCAGGAGCGAAGCTTCTCCATATCCCCCTGCTTATCCTCTGCACTTAGAGGCACATGGCCCAACCTAAACTGAGCCTGGAGTTCCTCCAGGAAGGCCTTCTCCAGTGCAGGAACCTGTTTGGAGAAAAGAGCTGAGGACGCATGCAGTGCGTAGCTTGTTCCATTCCCCTCATGCATGGATTTCAGCGCATTGGATAAAGCTTCCTCAGCTTTCTTCTCGTCTTTGGCAGTCTGCAGGAGGTCCTGGAGCTGTCCAGCTGTGGTTCCTTTGGCTGCACGGCTTAAGGCACCCAGGGAGCTGGCAAGCAGTACTGGAGAGATGAGAGTGTTGGTTTGGGAGCCTTCACTCCGCAGGGCCTTATAGAGCTGCAGCCCCAGGGACCAGCTGGGGTGCCCCAAAGAGAAACCAGCCTGCTGGGGCTGCTGGGGGTTACCTGAGGCTGGGGGTGCCTTGGAGGTGGAGGAGCCGACCCCCAGAGCCAGCAGATTCAACAGTGATAGAGACAGAACAGCAGTAGGCAGCATGGCAGAGCTGAGAGAAAAAAAGCAGAATGAATATACAAAGAACACAGTGTCTAATGTCTAAAAATTTTGAGATAATGTTTTGGCCTAGAAAGTATATTTTAAAATTCATTTGTGGTGGAGAGGTACCTCGATTTTACCATTATCAGCATTACATATGAAAGCTCAGATGTGTAGATTCACTGTTTATTTTGGATAGTAGATAAAATGGCTGTGTTTGCTTTGCAGAAATTGCAGCCCCTGGTTTCCATCACCACCACTGTAAGGAAATCCGAGTTGGTAGGTTTCTCAACATGGAACCATTTCTCATCAAACCACTCTGAATGACTTTGTTTACATCTCAGACATTATATAATGTGGATTCTTTAAAAAGATCAAATTCCCCTCTAAATAAAAAGGGTTTTCAAGGCACTTGGAGACATGCAATAAACATGAACCCCCATTTTAGCATCCCTATTTAAACCAATGCACCACTCTGAATGACTTTGTTTACATCTCACACATTATATAATGGAAATAAAAAGAAAAGTTGAAATCCCCGTTAAATAAAGGGATTTTCAAGGCACTTTGGTTACATGCAACAAATTTGCAACCCCAGTTTGGCATCCCTTTTTCAGCCCCTGCAATTTTAGGAAAACAGAAATTCTTCATCAAGTTAAATTTTATATTTAACTAAATATTTCTAACAAAATATAGAGAAACAGATTGGCTACAGCTACAGCTTAAGTTTTGGTTATAGCCATTACTGCAGCGTTGTAACAGCCTACTCAATTTGGCTATGTCGTCTTCCGGGTTATCTATGCGTTAAATCCAGTCTGGACCTGCAGCTGTGCTTGTCCTCTCCTATCAGAAAGCAACAATCCAACCAAAACCCCTTTTTTCTGTCCAATTAGAAAATGAAACCACCTAAGTAACACCAAAAGACGTCAAACAGCCTATGAAAGTTTAGGGGAGCGGAAAAAAACTATCGAGTTTCTTTTCCACAGGCCTTTGATCGAGCTCTCTGAGCGGTATCAAGCAGACGGCTTTACTCGCGCAGCTGTGACGTCTTACTGATGTGCAGCGGGAGCAAAGACAAAGTGGAAAGTTCTTTGTTTCGCTTTACCGTTAATCAGTTACGGTTTCCCTCTTTCCTCCTCTCCTTCAGGGAGCTTGGAGCGAGCCGACAAGGAAGGCAGGGGCTTCCGACGTGGCAGAGGAAGTTCTTTTTCTTGTTTGCCAACTTTTCCTCGAGCCAAATCCAGTCTGTAGCTGCTCCAGTCCGGGCATTTTAGCCCCTTCGCGAACTTTCTAACATTCCAGCCCGTAGTCGTTCAGGCTGCCTGCCTGTGTCTGCCCGCTACGAGGCTCACCACACTTCAATCACATTATGACTCAGGTAGAAGTAGTTACCAAAAAACCTTCCTCCTTTGTAAGCTCCCTGTAGAACTGCAGTGGAACTGCTTAGTACATCAAAGCATTTACCAGCATGTGAAGAGAATCTTTTTGGGCTACATCGTCTCTTTTTTTCGATCATTTTGGTCTAAAATAAAATGCTAACGCTTGAAATTATGAAATGTTAGCAACGGTAGGTGCTGTGACCAACAAAACAGCATATAATTAAGCCCCAAAAAGAACCAGGAACAAAACATTAAAAGGAATTACACTGGTTTTTCAAATGTTCTTCATAATTCAATCATTGAGATGCAAACATGTCCTTTTGCACTAGGCAAAGCTGTAGGCAGCCACCTACAGGGCCCCCATGAGCCCAGAGGCCCATGAAACTATAAATGAGATGCAATGTTAAATAACTTAATTAAAATAATAATAATAATAATCATGCTGCCTCTGTACACCATTACAGGATTTGATATGAAGCAGTCCAGAAGTGTAGACTTTCAGCTTTAATTTAATGAGTTTAACAAAAATATTGCATTAACCCTTTAGGGAGTGCAGCCATTTTTTACATAGTCCTTTCATCTTCACGGGCTCAAAAGTAATTGGACAGTTGACTGATAAGCATGGCCAGGTTGCCTGTTCCCTCGTTATTTAATGACAAATTAAGGTGATAAAAGGTCTGGAGTTGATTCCAGTGGTTGTATATGCATTTAGTAGCTGTTCATGGGGACTCTCAATATGCAGGCCAAAGAGGGGTCAATGCAAGTGAAAGGGGCCACCACACTGAAAAAGCAAAACGAACCTATCAGAGAGATAACAGAAACTTTAGGAGTGGTCAAAACAACAATTTGGCACATTCTTAAACAAGAAAGGATGCACTGGTGAGCTCAGCAACACCAAAAGGCCTGGAAGACTACGGAAGACAACTGTAGTGGATGGTGGACAACATCTAGTCAAGTCATAGACATTCTAGAGGAGGTTCACACACCATTGCCAAAGTCTACAATCAAGAGATGCATTTATGAATGTAAATACAGAGGTTTCACATCAATATGCAAACCATTGATAACACTCAAGAACAGAAAGGCCAGATTAGACTTTTGCTAGAAAACATCTAAAAAAGCTTGCCCAGTTCTTTAACAGATGAAACCAAGATTAACTTGTACAAAAGAGAAGAGAAGAGTATGGAGACGAAAACAAAGGGCTCATGATCCGAAGCAAGCCACATAATCTATCAAACATGGTGGAGGCAGTGTTATGACATTGGCAGCCAATGGAGCTGGGTCACTGGTGTTTACTGATGATGTGACTGCTGATAGAAGTAGTAGAATGAAATAAATGAATTGAATGAGGGGTATAGGGCTATACTTTCTGCTTAGATTGACTCAAATGCTGCAACTACTTTTAAGCCTGTGAAAAAAGAGGGACTATGTAAAAATTGGCTGTAATTCTACATGGTTAATGCAATATTTTTGCTAAATCCCTTGAATTGAAGATGAAAGTCTATGCTTCAATTACATCAATTACATCTTGACAGTTTAATTTCTAATCCATTGTGGTGATGTACCGAGGCAAAATTTCAAAAATTGTAATTCACTGTCCAAATACTTAAGGACCCGACTGTATATTGCAAATGTCAGCTTTTTAAAAAATGTTAAAACTGCGCAGGTTCAGCATCACACATAATGCATGCATTATTGTTAGTATAGATAGCTCCAGTGTTGGGGTCATTACTCAAAAACAGTAATCTTTTACAAATTACTAATCTTATTTACTTAATCCTCTTAAAATGCAATAGGGTCACATTACTTTTCATTTAAATCCAGATCAAAAATTTTCATCCAGGGGTGTGATTACTGTCTTTTGCATGGAGTCCCAGAATAACAAAATCTATGCAAACATACACCAATTTCTCTGCATACTTACTACTACTACTACTTAGTTCTTATTCATCCTGTTCTTCAGTGGTCAGGACCCCCACAGAACCACCACAGACCAGGTATTATTTGGGTGGTGTATCATTCTCAGCACTGCAGTGATACTGACATGGTGATGGTGGGTCACCACAGCATCACTGCTGTGTCTGATCCACTCGTACCAGCGCAACACACACTAACATACCACCACCATGTCAGTGTCACTGCAGCCCTGAAAATGATCCACTACCCAAATAATACCTGCTCTGTGGGGGCCCTGATCAATGTAGAACAGGGTGAAAGGAACAGATGGGCTGGAGTCTGGAATTGTAGAACTGCAAAGTGCACTTATATGGACAATGATGATAAGATGGACAATGACTGTAGAAACAAGGAGGTGCGGCTGATCTGTGCAGAGTGGTTGATGTTATTATTAAATTCCAACATTACCAGTGAATGAGTTTTTGTGTAATGTTGATAATGGTACTCTGGGTACTATTTTGCCTCACACCTGTGTACAAGTTCCTGCAGTGCATTTCACACTAAACCACTCTTACCTGCCATAAAAATTTATTTACGGAGCCCAGCTGGTGACATCCTGTATGAATAAAAGTAATGCGTGGCCACGACTTTGTAAGGTGTGGGAACACGATAATTAAGTTGTGGCCATGACATTGGAGCAAGATACTAATGCATGGCCATGACTTAGTAAGGCAAGCAAGCAAGCAAAGTTTATTTATATAGTGCCTTTTACAACAGGTGTTGTCACAAAGCAGCTTTACAGGAAAAAAAAAAAATCAGCATTACAGAAAGAAAATCCGGGTCCGAGCCCCCATGAGCAAGCCAGTGCCGACACGCCTTAGTAAGGCGTGGCCATGAGATAATTAAGCCTTGACCACAGTTCAATAAGACCTGATCTTGTTCCCAAACCTTACTAGAGAGCCCTGCTGGTGACATGCTGTATAAATAAAAATAATACGTGGCCATGACTTAGTAAGGTGTGGCCATGAGATAATTAAGCCTTGACCGCAGCTTAATAAGGCATGATCTTGTTCGCACGCCTTACTACACAGCCCCGCTGGTGACATCCTGTATAAATAAAAATAATGCGTGACCATGACTTAGTAAGGCGTGGGAACACAATAATTAAGTCGTGGCCACAACTTAGTATGACATTGGAGTGAGATACTAATGCATGGCCATGACTTAGTAAGTAATGAGATAATTAAGCCTTGACCACAGCTTAATAAGGCATGATCTTGTTCCCACGCCTTACTATAGAGTCCTGCTGGTTTATACCTCCTGTATAAATAAAATAAAGTGTGGCCATGACTTAGGAAGGCATGGGAGCAAGATAATTAACTCGTGGCCATGACTTAGTAAGGCACGGGAATGAGATCCTAATGCATGGCCACGACTTAGTAAAGTACCACAACTTAACTGTCTCGTTCCCACGCCTTACTAAGTTGTTGCCATGCACTGGGATATCGTTTCCATGCATTAATAAAACGTAACGCCGCATTATTTTTATTTCTATGGGATGTCACCAGCAGGGCTCTGTGCCTTACTAAGTCATGGCCACAACTTAATTATCTCATTCCCATACCTTACTAAGTCTTGGCCATGCAATAGGATCTCGTTCCCATGCGTTAACATGGTGTGGCCACGCATTATTTTTATTTATAGGGGATGTCACCAGCAGGGCTCTGTAATTATTTATGCTCAAGTTTTGGACATTTTTGAAAAATTAGTAAAACTGAAGGGAAAAACAGACTCTTTTTCTCACCGTAGATGAGCACGCAGTCTCATCATGTTGGCAACACTAAGAAAAATGCAAATTCATCAGAATTCTGGCTACATGGAACTAGTTAGTAGCCAGCGCTGCTAAAACAATAAGCCAGGTGTGTACCATGCGGCAGGCCTTCTGCCAGCGCTATGGCACGTCAGTTCTGCGCTAAGTTGTTGCAGGATGATTTGTTTCACATTTTTACAGTAAGTGGAAAGATATGAATCATTCGCTAGAGAAACAGCCGCGTTTCTCGTTTAGAATCTCTCGCTCTCTCAGGCTGAGGGGTGGATGGAGGTGCAGTTCTTCGAGCGGCCGAGTGGGGTCGCCAGCGCTTTGCGCCTCGGCGTGTGGTCGAACTCCCTGCTCATAATACCGAGACCCTGCAAGCTTCCCTGCATGTCTGAATGAACAAGTGTCCCTTCACTGTTTCTCCTTTTTGATCTCTCATTCTCTCTCTCCTCCTTTTCCAATGCTGCGCCCGAATTCGAGTCACTGGAATCAGCTTCTTAAAAGTATGCTGGCTATAGCTCAATATTTGTTCAAGTCTGACTGCAAATTGATCAATAGGCAGGTACCAGTGGCAGACTGGATCGATTGATATACAGAAAGTAGTAAAAGGCGAAGGAGGATCAGGCTTGGAGATGGAGCTCTGGTAATGGCAGACAACCACCAATACAGAACAATCAGCCTGGACATGACAGCCCATAGACTGGCCCAATTACTCCCCTCCCTAATCAATATCACACTCACGCAAGATAGTCATCAGTGGAAAACACACACACACTGAGAGCTCACATACACACACATTTTAAAGCCTATATGTTGTAGCTATAGGTTACATGTATGCTTGTACAATTGCAAATGCTCTGACATGCTATTAATCATACACAAACTGTACACATGCTTGTAGATATAAAGCTGCCACCAGCTTTTCTCATGACATTGCATAATTAAGTCAGCATACAGACACACATACTGTATGTACAGCCCAAGGGGCTTCACAGCATACAATAATAATAATGAGAAGTGTTTGGTTGGCGTTTGCTAGGAGGGAGGAGGTTTGTGTCTGTAACTGGAGATGTATTAACCAGTGCATGGGGGAATTGTAGCCTAGAAGCTTCTCAATGCCCATTACGCTCAATTGAGCAAATAACAAGTAGACCTTTACACTGACCTGGGACCAGTTTATCTGGTCAAATCCCTAACCCTAATCATTATAAGCAAGCAAATAGACTGGCCTCAGATCACC